AAAAAAAAACAACCAGATACATTGGCCGTGTATCTGTTCTATGGCTTCCTTAGTTAACATTTTTGATAAAATTATACCACCTGCAAATAAGGGTAATTTCATGTCTTCCTTTACTTCTGGATTTCATTTTTTTGCCTTAGTGTCCTTGCTAGAACCTCTAATATAATGCCGAACAGAAGAGAGTGGACACCCTTGTTGTATAGCTGATATTAGGAGGAAAGTCCTTGACTACTATGTAGGCTAGGTATGGAGTTTTCAAATGCCTTTTATGAGGTGTAAGATGTTCCCGCCTACTCCAAGTTTATTATTTTCATCAAGAGAGATGACTGGATTTTTTTTCAAATGCTTTTCCTTTATTGTATATTGATAAGGTAAAGTACACTGACTTTTAGAGGTGAAACTAACTTAGTGTTCCTGGAACATCCAACCACTACTCTTTGAAACTTCAGTTTAATTCCGTTCCCCGAGATTACCAACTGAGCTTGAAAACACCTGCCAATTCAATTTTGCTTATGTGATCAAGGATCTTTTCCAACTAAATGACCAGTAAGCAACATATAAAACCTCCAAAACAAACAGCCTATGGTAATAAAAATGTCAAAATGTTTAACTCCATTATGAAAAATATCTGTGTCCATCAAATCTTCATTCTTATAGGTTTTGAATATTAAAAGACTCCCAGGAATTAGATTTATTTTTAATTTGGCATTAACAATTTCTTCTAACTTAACTTTGTAAATACTTAAAATTTTCTCTTTTAAATTCCATGGTGGTTTTAAACAACAAGACTTTAAAAGGAGTTATCAATTGAATTCAGGGAGCTGCAACACAAGCTTATATAGTTTGAGAAAATGGGAGATAGACATCAGACATTTTATGCCTCCGTAAGTCATCATTAGTACTTGGCAGTACAGGTCATCCCTGAATTATGATGGGGCTCTGTTCTGAAGACTCAGTTCTAAGTTGGTTCTGACATAGTCTAACACTTTTTAATTTTTTTTACGTTTTCATTTTTATAAACCTGTAGTGCTGTGTATAGTCATAAAACTGAACATCTGATAATGATAATAGCATCAAATTATGTACTGCAATTCCTATATTGCTAATAAGATGTACCAAAAACAAAACAAAACATCCAAAACCTAATCAGATAGTAATTTAAGTGTGGCTCACTGTAAAAAATAAGATAAAGCAGCAAACTAGGATATTCACAAAAAGTACTTGTTTTAGTTTACCTGAACGAGGTATCGAGGATCCACATTTAAATAAGGTGACAGAGGGTTCATACCAGTCACTAGAGAGAAAACAAAATGTCGTATCACAATAAAATTTTCTTTACTTTTTTAAAGACTTTAAATTATTTAATGCTTTCTATGAATAAAATTCTTTCAAGTTATTTTAAGTTAACCAAGCTGTTGAAGGCATTTGAAACTTTGATTTACAGGCTCACTAAATGGCGTAGTCAAACCCCAACCCCTTTTTTTTGGTTTCAAGATTATCCTTGCATGTGGCATTCTTAAGGTCCCTGGCTGGCGCAAACAAGAGCCATTTAATTACTATGCAAAAAGTTAGTGGTCTAAGCCCATGCACTAGTCCCATGAAAGGAAGGCCTGGGGATCTCCTTTCACGATTGTTATTGCTGTTAGTTCCCACTGAGTCAGTTCCAGCTCAGGGCAACTCAAGGCCTGCAGAGTCGAAATGGTAGCTGATCGCCAAGTCACGCTTCAGAGACGTCTCTGGTTTAGAGGCAAAGAAAAAGCACAACCTGATGGTCTACTCCGTAATACTGAGCCAGGATCAACTCAGGAGCAAAATGTTGTTGGTGGTGGTTTATAAACTTCCTCCTCCAGGGATCTTACATCTTAGTCTCAAGCCAGGACTTAAATTTGTAGCCCAGGCTCTCATAAGGAGATAATGGTAATAGCATAGATCAAATAATAAAGTAACAGAAAGCACAGACCAGGTCAGTTACAGGGCTAGTTCCTTTATACTTGATATAATTGATATTCCCTTTATACTTGATATAATTATCTCTTGATAATTATACAAACTGCAAAATAAAATTGATGAGACATTAAACATAGAAAAACAAAACCCCCCCAGAAAAATAGTGGTGTGTTGGGTTTCTACTTAATGTGCACAAATATTTACTATCTTAGCGCTAATATTTGCTACTGTATTGATTTATGAAAGTCATTTACCGTATGAGCCCCTAATAAAATGATTAAAAAAGAAAAAAAGAAAGTCATTTACCATAGTTTTGGGGGTTGGGAAAAAGGCAAACTTTCAGAAGGCAAGACCTAAACTTGGAAAGAGAAAAACATAAAGGACAGCCAACATTCCTACACTTAAAATGTAATCGTGGCCTCCTCCTACACTTCAGTTCATGAATCTATGTATTTTAGTCATAACACCTCTTTATCATCAA